TACTTCGCGACTCGAACTTACCTAAGGAAGGATACGGCCAGTCTGAACGAAAAGCAGCGCCAAGCTATGGCACACCCGGAAGTCATGTATTCCTATGTGAACTACATGTCTTACGCGCTCTATCCACCGCTCTACCTTGCCGGCCCCATTATGACTTACAACGACTACATCTGGCAGGTCAGTTCTTTTCCCGTGTCAAAGCCCGCGGCCTTGACAGTACGTCAGCATCGCAGACCGCTCGCTATTCCCAGGTCGATTGTCCTGCGCTACTTTGTCCGCTTCATGATATCCCTGTTGACCATGGAATTCATCTTACACTACATGTACGTCGTCGCGATGAAGGATACCAAGGCCTGGATCGGCGACTCGCCGGCCCAGATTGGCATGATTGGCTTTTGGAATCTCGTAATCGTTTGGCTGAAGGTAGGAGTTGTTTTTTTCTTCGTCGGCCGCTCTTGCTAAAACATCTAGCTACTCATTCTGTGGCGGTTCTTTCGGTTATGGGCCATGCTCGGTGGGATCGAGACTCCAGAAAATGTGGTGCGGTGTATGGCCAACAACTACTCGACTTTCGGCTTCTGGAGAAGCTGGCATCGGAGCTACAATCTGTGGATCATACGGTAATGTCGTCGAAAGATTTTCATGCATCTTTTCTCTCACCCTTTTTCAGATATATCTACATCCCTGTCGGCGGTACCAATAACGTCTGGCTCAATACCTTGCTAGTCTTCACTTTCGTAGCGTTGTGGCACGATCTGACATTCCGGTTGTTGGCGTGGGGCTGGCTCGTTAGTTTGTTTATCGTCCCAGAGCTTGCTGCTCGTTATCTTCTTCCTGAATCCAAGGTGCGTAGTCACTTCTTGCGCTGTCGAGTCCGTTAACATGCGCAGTATGGGACCGAGCCTTGGTATCGGCATGTCTGCGCCGTCGGAGCGGTCCTCAATATCCTGATGATGATGACGGCTAACCTAGTAGGTTTCGTTATTGGTGTTGATGGAATACAGTACTTTGTGCGCCAGCTCTTCGGGACAACGGAAGGTCAGCATTTATACATATATACAAATCTCACGGTGCCTTCTTGATCACGTGTACTATATAGGATTGCGTTTTCTAGTCGGTGCTTCTGTGTGCCTCTTTGCCGCTGCACACTTGATGTTCGAGTACCGGTCAGTCTTTTGTTGATTTCCTCATCCCAGGTCTCATCTCAACCCATTTCTTACGTAGTGAGGCAGAAAAACGTATGGGGATAGTGCGAAGATGTTAGGTTTTTAGCCGAATTTGTTGTCTTTATTTATTTGCTTCCGGCGGTGAACTGTGTGATTGGTTCGGTAAACTCGACCGACCTCCGCGACTAGCGCTCACCTCTTCCGGTGCAAGAATTGTGCCCAAGACGACTTTAAGTTGACATTCGAGCGCGATGCGGGCAATTGACTTCCATGAAACCCATCTATTATTTTCTCCACGTGCAATTTTTTGCGAAGCGGTCCCCCTGTGTTCGAATGGGAAGTGGACCCACAAGCGTACGTTGAGGAGGTGGCCGTAACGTCATCTCGAGACCTCTGGAAAATCTATGCGGAGCAAATTTTATGTTCGATTGAGCCACAATCTGAACCAAATTGTCCCGAATTGCGCAAATTATATGATTTTTGGCCCACTTCCGGCCTTTTGATGGTCAAACCTATTTTGGAATGCGCTACCCTGTACGTCAACGGTCGAGACTCGCTAGTCATGCTATTGGTTAAATTGGTGCGACCCGGAGCCCTCGGCGCACTGCATGTTCTTTCAGGTTCCCATCGTACCCAATTACGAGCACGATGCAAGAGGTGAGCGCTATGTACATCAGCTATCCCTTGTATTTTCCCCTCACATGCAACCAGAACAAACCGAAACAGGCGCCTTTGTGCATTGATTTTTTGGTAATCGGTGCAGGCGTCGCTGGACTCGCTTGTGCCATCGCACTGCGGCGGGTTGGACACAGAGTCCTCGTTATTGAACGTGAGAAGCAGATTGGCGAATCAGACGTGCGTTATCTTTGCTGTTCCGTCACTGACGCCGCTGACACCCCCCACTGACGTTGTCATCAGGCTTCTCGAGCAGTTCGCATGCCACCCAATTTGTCGAAAATTCTGTACCATTGGGATCTAAAGCCAGAGGTGTATTCCGTGGCGGCAAAGTCAAAAGCCATCCAGATCTCTCGCTGTGCGTTGCACCCTTCTATCTTCGGTCCCACCCTGATTCTGCCTCTTCAGTTGAGACGGGCGATCTTCTTGGACGACATTATTGGGATGAAGAGGTTCTCAGAGAAACGCGGGGAGAATTCCTGTTCGCCCATGTATGTTTGGCATCTCCGCTTGGTTTTGTGTGTGGCTAACCCCGTCAGCTTGCGGATGTTCGCAAGATGATGTATGACGTCGCAGTTGCTAAAGGCGCAACGATTCGACTCAACGCCACAGCCGTAGCCGTCGATCCTGAGCGACGTATAGTTACTCTTGCTTCCGGAGAAAACCTCAAGGCCGATGTAATTGTTGGGGCGGAGGGTGCGTCTGGTCTTGTGCGGCCCTTGCTCCTCAGGGAGCAAGGCATCGAGGAAGCCACAGAACCGCGCTACTGCATGTATAGGCGAGCCTGAACACCTCGTGTCCGGTATTATGGCTGATCTTCAATGTCCAGTGCCACGATACCCGAATCCTTGGCCGTCACAGACCTTCACTGCAAAAAGTTCTTCGAGACAGAAGTTGTTCGTCGAGTATTCTTATATGCTGCTGAGCTAATGGCCATCTAGACCACCATGTTCTCCTTCTTTGGCAACGATCAGTCGGTCATCAGCCACCCTCTGGTGAGTGCCTGCTCGCTGTTGGCCTGCGGCTTTCCTTATCTATTCTAGGGCGGTTCACCTGCGTTTTCATTTTGTCTATATCGACCATGGGATGAATACGAAGACTCGCCCATAAGTGGGATGCGTGCTGCCCTGGAGGAGGCGGAACCACGGTACTAGATCCGTTACGCGTTTTTCGAATTCTAACAGCCTTCAGATTGAAAAACCTCGGTCCGCTGATGTTGCCGCCCCGACGATTTCCGATTCTTGAGTACCCAGCGCTCGACGACTGGGTCGATGAGACTGGTCGAGTCGTCGTGATCGGCGGTGCCGCTCACACTATTCCAGTACGTTTCGATTATCATAATTATTGCTCCAATACGGCTGGTTCTGACCTCACTTATAGACTGGCTCTACCCAATATTATGCCATGGGGGTCGAGGACGGAGCAGTTCTGGCAAAATTGTTCTCTCACTTGCACACCCACGATCAAATCAGCGACTTTCTATATGCGTTTCAGGATCTTCGACAACCGCGGTGTGCAACGGTCCTTGCGTCGGAGACGGGTATCATACAGTACATGGGAATGCCGAATGGGCCGGACCAGGAAATGCGTGATCAGGGTATGAGGGCGAAAGCTGCGATGGGAGGGAATGTCCTCGAGGCATCGGGTGACCAGGAGGAGTCCCCTGAGTGGGCGGAGATCAAGAATGTCTTTGGCTACGACGCCGAAGATGAGGCAGACAACTGGTGGGTAAGTTGGGGGCTCTTAAAACAGAGATCTATGGGTACACTTGTCGATCTGGCTGTCGGTGCCCTTCAGATTCAGATGGCAGCCGTGTCGTAGCCCGGTTGCGTAGGAATCCTATTTTCTACTTTTAGCCATCCTTTGATCCTGATCCAGCAACCTCGCCCTCAGGCTTCAGCAGGGACCTGTGGTGCTGCTCCTTGTCATGCACTTTTAGTATACATTTACATTTACCTCGTCCATTCAATGCGGTTTGACCATAATTAGCACTCGATCCAGTTTTTGACACTCGCAATCCTACACAATAACTTATACTTGCACTCGTGCTGGCTTGGGCTTTTCTAGACAACGAGGTGCGCGGTAAGACTAGCTTTGACCATAGTAGAAAATGCTGTCATCGATTCAATCCGAATTGCGACCTTTGACTCTGCCGACTTCGGAAGATCGACGACTTCAAGCACCTAACGAATCCTTCCTTCCAAGCGAGGGACGGCGGGATACCCTTTCATGGCTAACATTGTCGCCACCCAATTTTGAAAGTTAACAAGGTGAGTTTTGGCTGCTCATGCCAGCGTGAAATGCGAGCAGTGTTGGCTTAAGGGCTAAGGCCTTAAATGAATTAAGGCTTAATAAGGCCTTAAGCTAAGGCTTAAGAATTTTCGCCGGCACTCTTAAGGCTTAACAGCACCCGGGCCGAGCGCGGAAATTGTCGGACTCTCGAACATTTATCCCTCTGACTTGTCACAAGCTTTAAGGACTTCATATATCCACCAAAGGTACTAGAATAATACAATGCCTAACTTTTTTTAGGAGTTCTGGAAAAAAATTGGTGCCTAGATTTTTGAGATGCAGGTTAAGCTGAATTTGAATCTTGGCTGGCATGTAGTAGATAGATGGCATATACCTGGTCTGCCCAGGTTTTGAAATGACTTGAATCATCCCTTTTCTCACCATAAGGTTGGGGAAATCAGGCATATGGGTAGCCAGAGGAAATTAAGAGAAAATATGGCTTTAAGCCCTTAACCTTGCCCTTAAACTTAAGCCTTAACCCTCAATAAGCCTTAAGGTTCCAGCGGACCATTCCTTAAGCCTTAAAGGCCAACACTGAATTATTATTATGCGAGGGCTCCCATACCATTGCTGGGATACGCCCGCCGGAATATGTGTAGTCAATGGCCTGGAGAATGTGTCTTACCACTGGTCTGCCCACCTACATGTCTGTACGCCAATGAGGCGTCTGCCTAGGAGAGACTGCTTCGTGCCGTCTGCTGCTACGGAGAATTCAGACTTCTCATATTGAACCACGGTATAATTTTCTGGTGCTGTTTCCCGAAAGCCACAGGGTCCTGAATGCTTATGAGCTACTGGAAAAAGAAACGGTTCCGACTGGGACCCAAGCGTTGAGCTACTGCACAAAAAACGTGGAAAAAAAACAAATTCCGTGTCGGGGAATCGAACCCCGGGCTGCTGCGACCACATTACGTAATAGGCACTGATTACGTAAGAGTGAGAGGCAGCAATGTTGACCCCTACACCAACACGGAGCTACTAAGGAGCTACTAAGCATTGGAGCAAGGTGAATATACCGTAAAGCTATACTACATCCACCGAGGATCGATCAGGTTTTGTCCACCCACGGCCTACTTTGTCTTGGTTCATAATCCTATGGCTATCGGTACCGACAAATCTCCAAGGCTGGAACAAACTCAAGTCAAGACCGCTCCACTGGTAAAGATAACCGGTTCTGAAAACTGTCCACATGGACGGCCAAATGCACATAGAACATCATGGCAGAGCAATGGTGGTTCGTACAGATGAGGAGGTTGGCTGTCTCAGATTGCCGAGTTACCGGAACAATGTTTCGATCGATGACATGATAACCATGACTGTGCTCTTGACAGTGTTTCTATCGCTGCTCCCCCAATTCTTAACCAATTGGACTAGAAACTATCCCATCATAATGCTCTGTGTCACCAGATTATGCTCATACTAAAATTTTGCTGAAATTCCCCCCCAAAACCCTGTACCGGTCAACTTGTAATAAATTTTGAAGTCAACTGTGAATGTTACCGCTACACCATATCGGACATATTTATCTGTAGATTAGAGTGGTCAGATGGCTTCAATATGCTCTTATAGCAATACATAGGTACAAAGGTAGTAACTACTTAATTGGCGCTCTATACAATACGAGGAGGATTGTGATGAGAGACACCTAAGATCCACTCGCGAGGTCTGTCACGTCGAAAGCAGGGCCATGCAAGTGGACAAGGGTGTGGCTGTGGTCAGGCCCCCGGTCACTACCGTGTAACATTGTCCGCCAGGACCCCAGTTTATACCTTGGGAGGCCAGATCCCAGTTCGGACAAAAATTGATGATTTTGACCCGAAAACATCAGGAAAAAATGAAATGCTATATAGACATGGCTGGGGGCTATGCATGTCTATCATTGTCTATGGTGGTCTATATGACCACCCCACCTGTGTATGCATGTCTATAGTGGGCTATCAATGTCTATAAATCTGAGCTTCCACTATTAGTGTCTATCGGTGTCTAGCAATTTGGGGCCTAGTCTATGTGGAGCTATCAGGTGTACCTTCTATACTATGGTGGTCTATTACTGTCTATCAGTTTCATCCCCTACAATATACTACTACATCAGGAAAAAGCTCCTTTGGTAATTTACCTGAAATTTCCTTCCCCATTTCAGAAGACAACTAATTTCTGGGAATTTCCGGAAATTTCCCTGAATTAGGAACCTTAGTTAAACAAGACTTCATTGTCCCAAGTCATCGACATGGGGTCAACTTCTAAGGCATGTAGATCACCTATATTGTGATTTTCTTCAGTTCTAACTCACCAGAATTTCTTGCATATATGATCCCCGAGCATGCTTTACGCACTGTACTACTCTAAGTCTGACTCTCCACAGTGACTCGGATCACCGTGGCCATACAACCTGAAGCATTGCTAACTGAGTCTGTTAAGCCTCCGAGTTCTCTCAAAAGAATTTCGTTGGTGACATGGAACATAATTCAAAATCATTCAAGGACAACTACGTACTAACCATAACTTGAAAGAGAGAATTAGAATAGTGTCGTATAAATATGACGGTCAGTCATAGAATTGACGAAGAAAGAAGGGCAACTATCTAAAATGTTACTTGAGTGCCATTCTGGAGGGACAACAGGCCCGAACTTGGGGAGTAAATGGATGCTGCGGCGAATATTTGCAAGAGGAATGACACTTGCAAGTCGAGCCCCATCTTTTAGCGATCGAGAGACTTTATACATTAAATGATGAGGCTCTGGTTGAGCTGTAAAGGCTGAAAACCATTCGACATAAGCCAGATGCTTGGGGGGCAAAAGGCCGGGTGTGAAAAGATTTTGTATATGTTGAGAAGAAAGGGAGAAAACAACACGGACCCGGCCAACACGGTAGCCTGTATAAAGAAATTAGCCAGATTGAAGTTCAACTCGGACAATTATATTACCAAGAACACCCGTCATCTGTCCGTTACCATCATTTATCAAGGCTGTGTCGAAGCGGGCAGGAATTTCACCACCGTTCTTGAGGAGTTTTCTTGGTTGTACATGAATAGAATCAACTATGGATTCTGTGGGGCCGCCTGAGGTGTATGGGTCTTGTGTAGTGAACTTGATCCGATGGAAAACGGGGACAGAGTTGAATGTAAAGGCGATGTCATGGGCTTCGATTTGGGAGCGGGTAAGAGCGGGGTTATTGAAATGGATCACAAAACGTGCCAAAGCGTCGCGGAAGAAAATGGCACCATATTCGGTGATGGGATGATTGATGCGTACTGATTTGAGGGTCGGGTGCTTGGTCATTCGAAGACTTCGCTCATAGACAATTCCAGGAGGTGGGTCGTCAATGATTTGGGGTCTCGGGCAGCCATCCAGGCGCCATTGGATATATTTCTCATGACGAAAAATCTTCTCCTTGCGCTCCAGCCAAAGGGTCATCTGTGGAAACTCGTCCTTGAAGTTAGTGGAACGATACGCCTCTTTCGCAAGGTCAATATGGAGGCGCTCGGTGTATTCTGTGTTATAGTTGTCAGTGGTGCCGAGGAGAATGATATACATGATATAGTGGGCACAGGAGTGTAGCTTGGGGAGGTTGAAGTCGTTGCGAACCCCCAGATCGATGAAAATTGACTTGTTATCATGGAAGCACTGCAGCGCGTTCTCCAAGTGCTTGAGTGTCTCAGTGGTGTGCATAGGATATTGTGCTAGATAAATGAAGTCCAAGAGTCCCTGTACAGCGCCCAAAAGTCGGCTGGAGGAGAGATTATCGGGCAGTCGAACATTGACAATGATGCCCAGAAGAAAGCGCGATATCTGATCATGCTCCTTGCCAGTAACTCGGGAAAGATTAGATATCCCGTTGACGAATAGGCGCAGGTTGTGATTTGGCGGAAGAGTTCGACAGCGTGCATCTATCTCTGCCTCTCCACAGCAGGCCTTTAGCCAGGCAATGAGATGCTTAACAATTCCTTGATAAAGTTGGTGGAGAATATCCAGGCTGATTGCCCGGAAAATATTGGTATAAGGGAGGTCTTCCCAGAACGGGTGCCAAACAGGTTTAATGCCAGCATCTGCACAGGCTTTGGCATAAATTGTTGGCCCCTCATCCAAGGTATCGAGAGCATCTAGAATCCACTCAAGATCTCGGAGAGGAAAGGCTGCGTTTTCTCTGAGTTTGTCCCGAGGAACCTCACAGGTAGGACAGTCCCCAGTTTTCACCGCAGTAACGAGAACCTGTTCGGGATAGTCGCCAACGAAGGTCGCATATATAGGGTGTCCTTGGCATGTAACACCATCACCGCTTGTCAAAGGAATCCCAGTTACGCCAGCACTCTTCAATGGTGCAAGAATATGGGCCATGCATGCATGGAAAATGTTAGAGAGGATTCGCCGTCGAGCGGCTTTATTCTTCATATTCTTCATGCGGGAAGTGGGTAGATATCCCAGAAGAACATATCCCCGTCGAGATGACTTGCGCCGAATCTCTTTAGGAATGTTTGCGATTGTCATGTACACGGGATAAGCACTTTTGTTCCCGAATACGGTCAGTTGGGTCTTGTCTGATGAAATGATAATGGGGACAATGGTCGCGCCCGGATTATCTTTCTCGACAGCCTCCTGTGGAGCTATCAGTTAGGCTGGAAGACCAAACACAGAAAATATAATTCACCTGCGTACTCCACCACCACTTCCCGGTATGCATATTGTGGTACATTCTAATCGTCTGATCTTTATCAATATAATGCCGTTCTGGAACAACAAACAGATACGGGGCGAACTCAGTGTCACCCCAAAGCGCACGGACACACTCCAATATGTTGCGTGAGTAAAGGTGGAAGACTTCTCCGTTTACTATAACTTCAGATCTAGTGAACTTGGGGCGACCTGGCAGCTTCTCGTCAATGATTTTATTGAGTTGTGCCGAAGTCCCGTAGGAAAGGTCCAGCGAATCGCGTACCTTGAGGGAAGGAGGTCAGAAAAGAAGGCAGTCTCAAGGAACTCATTCAACGCACCCCATCTATCTTCAGAAGATCTGTGAAAGCCGTCGAACCGGCACCACGTAGTTTTGCCCACTTTGCAATTTCCCAGTCCATCTTGAAGGGTGCGTACAAATTGCTTTTCTCTGATCTCTCCGCGGATCCCTCAAGAACGGAGCTGTACTTCTCATTTGAAGTTTTAACACGGGTGGAAGAGATCGGTTTGCCGGCTAGATTCCCTGGGTATTTCTGAATAATGGGCTTGTGATGAAATTGGTCTGTTGCCAGTTTGCGTGCTTCGTGCTTCACATGATGGAGCATCGGATACCAAAGTGGGATCATCTGCGCCATGCATTGGGACATCGCCCGCAGGGCCAGGATCATTGCGCTGATCCAGATGAACGATCGGAGCCGCTCGTTCTTGGCCAATCAAGTCGTCTTCCTCTTCATCCTCAGCGTCTGATCCCACGTATCCAAAATCGTCTGCAGTATAATCTGCACCGAAGAAATCACTCTGGAATGTATCGTGCCCCCGGGGAAGTCCATGATCCTGTAGTTGGCCAAACTCCTCCTCGCTCATGTCCCCGATCGGACCACGGTCCAACTGATCGTCGATATCCATTCCGCTAGCTTCAGCACGCTTGAAGATGTCATGACAGGGACCCGATTGTTTCAATACCAAGTGGAGTCGGTAGCCTTTGTGGTCAAACTCGGTGTTGCAGCCAAGACAGACGACCATTGTAGAGGGCGTTAAGAGTGCGTGTTACGATGCAAATCGACAAGTACGATAAGGGCTTATCACTGATTTATCCCCGTCTGAAGTGAGACCAAACAACACTTGAGTGCAGCCGTGCAAATGCGATGGCAAACATGGACCTCATTTTTTTTCCCATTCCTACACCACTGTGCTTCCCACTCGTTCAGCTGACACTCTTTCACTCTTCTATTCCTTTCTTCTTGGATCCCCGACTTCCCTCCATGGCATCGGACCTGGCTGAGGACTCCGAGAAACAATGTTCTCGA